CCAACGATGGTCTAATTCCGGCATTCTGCCACCCTGTTCTGTTGAAGGGAGTAGGGCGCTGTTAGTTTTTGCTGAATGCCAAGCTCGTCACAGTACTTACCGATACTCGCTGAGGTGAATTCTCTACCTCGGTCTGTGCGTAGCGCTCGTATCTTCTTCCCGCTCGCGCCTGGATGCGCTTAATCGCCTCTGCCGACTTACTTTTCGCTTGTGGCAGGATTAGCCACATGAAGCGGCTTTTGTCATTGACAAACAGGAGGAAGAGGGTCTTGCCACCTGGGGTCGTCGGCTTGATGGGCCCGCAGATATTATCGTGTACCAGCTCTAACGGCTTGCCGGCGCGGTAGGATGTCTGAGACGGAAAGGGGGTGCGCCTCTGTTTGCCGATGAGGCACCCGTCGCACAGCTTGTTCACGCCTTTGACTGCCGCTGATTTCTTTCTCCGTAATACATATGTTGTTAAGGTGAGGCCACTGCTACATCCATTTCATTAGGAATTGCTGATCTTTTAACAATCCCTTCTGATGGCTAGCCTTGTTGGGCGTTCCTGCGCACCTAGCATCCTACAAGAAAAAGGCCCCTGACTCGAGAACAAAGCAAGGGATTGAGCAGCGCGAAAGCCACGAGAATACGCCTGACTCTTTCATTTGCATTTCCAAATCGAAAGTAGAGCAGGAAAGTTTAAGTGCCCGTACCTTGCGTGCCACCTCCAAGATACCTCTTCGGTCTTGGCCGAGAGGCTGACGGGTTGCTCTATCTCCAATTCTAGGATGTAAAGACGGTTTGTCCTGTGCCGAACTTGCGTGAGCAGCCGTCGTCGATTATCGCAGATTTTGAGTAGCCCACGCTCGATGGAAATGAAGCAGCCGGCCTCATCGAGTTGACCCAGGCTCACAAGGTTAGCCTTGAGCCTCAGGATGAAGTAGACGCCGGTCAATTTGCGGTGCTCGCCTCCCTTGCTGATGAACAAGATGGTGCCGCGCCCTTCGATCTCGACGACGGAGCCGTCGCTGAAATTTACCATCCCGTAAATCTCCGAGTCAAGCTCGGAGAATGTAGATCTAGCCCCGGTCATATGGTTTTTTGCCCCTGTGTCGAGGACCCATTGCCGGTTCTCATGTTGCTCGTCCCTCTCCCCGATCTGAGTGAACACTCGCTCCTCCTTCATTTGACTTGGCTCCCTAGCTGGTGCCTTTGCTACGCCTAGTTGGAGCTCTTCCTCGGGTTTGACGCTCACAAGAGGAGCAATTACGTCGTCGTCGATTACCTCCACCTCCGTGGATTTGGAATTAAAATTGGGGACGTCGGGTAAGACCGATGCACTTACCATGAAGAAAGCTGGCTCGTCCTCCTCTGATTGAGCCACATGAGCCTTCTCAGTCTTCTTGTTCCTGAGCTTGCTCCAGCAATTCTTGCTCAGGTGACCTCTCTTACCACAGTTCGAGCACTGGATCGGCCTGCCATCAGTTGACTCCTTCCTTTGATCACATCTTTCCTGCGCGTGCGCTGTTAGATAAAACCTGAGTTTTTCCTTATTTAGATTCACACGATTACATTAATTCTCCGTTTGACCATTTGACAAACACATCGAATGGATTAACGAAGTTTTAGACTGCAATTTTGTAGGAAGTGGCACAGATTCAGTTGCCACTCTCCAGCCATTTTTAGGATAGGTTATATTTAAATAGAAAATCTGTTCAGAAGATTTCACAACCTGATTTCAAGCGCAGTCAAAATTTCAATCATTCTCTCTCCTTGTTCTTTTACGCATTTATTTTTCTTCCAACAATCTCCTGTCGACAATTTCCTCTCTCCGAAAAGAAAGGATTTCCCTGGCCGATTATCAAAATCCAACAAGTGGTATCAGAGCCCAGTTGAAGCCATCGGTGTATATCATTGCGGAGGAGCCAACCTATCAACAATCAAGTTGAATAGCTCAAGTGGTTAGAGCGTCGACCTAACAACACACAGGTCTCAGGTTCGAGTAGAAGAAAATGTAAAGTGCGAAAATAAACACATCGTGGGGTCCATCTCGCGTAGACTCGCCAATAAACACAATGCGGATCACGGGGCTCGCCAATAGCATCACCACACTCGGTGGCCAGCATCAGCGAGACAGAAATCGTGAAGAAGATGCTGCACAGGTCGTAGGGTTGTCTATTCCTTACTGAGGAATGACTTGCACGCCTAAAGGCTCCGTGACGACAACGGCGAGAGCAATGGGCAAGGCGGTAAGAAGTCATGGAAATAACTGCTCCCCTTCGGCATCCTTTTGCTCTTCTTGAGCATTGAGCGAACCATGTCGAGAATAGTCCAGTTTTTTCTCGTTCCTCACAGTACTCCATGAAAGCCATCGAAGTATACTCGCAATAATCATCGATAAAGGAAATAAAATACTTCTTTCCGCAGAAGGACTTGGGGTTAGTGGTTTACATATATCTGTATGGATCAACTCGAGAGGTTGTTTAGCCCAGAATTCAGCCTTCTTTTGAATTGAGGTTCTCGCATGCTTGCAGAGCACGCATTCTTCACAAAATTTTCCTTCAAAGTCCATGTTTGGTAGCCCATGTACCATATTCTTCTTCTCTAACTCCTTTAGGCCGCCCTGATGTAGATGACCAAAGCGGAGATACAACAGTAATGCCTTGTCTTCTACATCGACTAGCAAACACTTTTCTCGTATGCTTCTTAAGTTCAATTTGTACATCCGATTTCTTCCTATCTCGACTCGAGCAACCAAACGCTCTTTCTTATCCTTCCGGTGTTGCAGGCAGTCCTTTAGGAATATCGAGTAACCTTTCTCTGTGAATTGTCCCATACTCACTATGTTGGTCTTGAGGTCTGGCACGTAATAAATATCTTGGATTGACCCCATCACACCATCCTTTTGCAAGAAATGTATCTTACCTCGGCCTTTGACCTCCATCTTTGACGCATCTCCAAATGACACATGACCATCTTCAATCTTTTGCATTTCTTTGAATAGGTGCTCATGACCGCACATATGGTTGCTTGCCCCTGAGTCGAGGTACCACAGAGTGTCGTTGTTGATGTTCTCTTCATCTTGAGCCATCAAGAGAAGACCTTCATCTATTACGTCTTCCACGACTAGGTTGGTTGTTCCTTCCACCCTTTTTCCGGCTCGACAAGCTTTTTGCAACGTGCCACATTCTACCACAATTGTAACATTTTTCAGAGTTACAATTGTTTGCATAGTGGACATATTTCTGACATTTGTAACACTAGATGTTTGAATTGTATCCTTGACCGCGTCCTTGATTGGATCCTCTTCCACACCAATGTGCTTGGCTCGACAGTCTCTTCTCCTTATAGTTTTCTTCGTAACTGTTGCCTTGACCACCTCGACCATTCCCGCGGCTTTCACGACCTCTACCTTGAACATTTTGAGTGTAGAGTACTTTTTCATCGTTTATTGATGCCTTCGCCTGAAGCGCTTGATCGAGTGTCTCCTCCTCCTTTTTCTTACGTCGCTCGTGTGCCTCGAGAGAACCGGCGAGCTCATCGACTGTGAACTTCGCTAGGTCCTTTGACTCTTCTATGGCACATACAACATTCTCGAAGTTGTCTGTTAACGACCTCAAGATCTTCTCCACAACCCACGTCTTAGGTAACACTTCTCTGTTTCGATTTAGCTGATTCTCCACGGTCTGTACACGTGTAATGTAGTCAGATACATTTACTGACTCCTTCATCTTCATGCTCTCCAACTCGCCATGCAGAGTCTGGAGACGCACCTGCTTGACTCGATCGGTTCCTTTGAACACCTTTTCTAGAGTGTCTCACGCTTCTTTTGAAGTAGTTGCCCTTGCAATCTTCTCAAAGCCCGACTTATCAACAGCCCGGAATAGCATGTATAATGTTGTCTTATCCTTTGATCGTAATTCTCTTAGCGCCTTGTTTTGCACCACCATATAACCCGTGGTATCCTTCGGTTCTTCGAAACCTTCTTTGACCACCTCCCATGCGTCTTGAGAACCGAGAAGAGTTTTCATTTGGATGCTCCAATTCTCGTAATTCGTCTTCGTCAATCGTGGTAGCGGCATTTGCCCCATCATGTTCGCCATCGACTCTGATACCAATTTTTTTGAAATAAAATCCTCTCTGATACCAATTTGTTGAAATAAAATTCGCTCGGTTGAAAATAACAATCCGCTCTGATACCAACTTGTAGAAAATAGACGCTCACTCTGAAACTAACTTGCTTAAATAACTCTCATGAAGTTGTGAATGAGGTGTCGAGAGGGTTGAGACAAAGGGACAAAAGAAATGCTGAAAAACTCTTTTCTATTACAATATACACTTTGCTCTCTGCCTCTTGCATTTTACCATGAAAACGAATCAATTTAGAGGGTTTCTAATATCTAAAATTTGCTAACCCACTTTCTCCTAGGGTGGTTCTTGGCCCTTTATTTTATCTTTGGCATTTTCCTTCTTACTACTCAAATTTCAAAAGCCTTGCGAAATTTAACAAAATCAAAAAATTCCCTTCTTTTATTTTTTTTCCATTTAAATTTATTCCCAAGAGTCTACAGAACTTATAACCTAAGCTCTGATACCAATTTGTAACGCCTTAAAACTGTTATATCCAAGAGTCTACAGAACTTATAACCTAAGCTCTGATACCAATTTGTAACGCCTTAAAACTGTTATATATACTTGAGAAATTCATCCACCGCCTAAGCTCTGATACCAATTTGTAACGCCTTAAAACTGTTATATATACTTGAGAAATTCATCCACCGTTGTGGCTCGACTTCACATTGTTCGTACGAGTTTCACAAGGTCGTAACCTCATCTCGTTTAAATGAAGAGAAGAAAGATTAAAAGAAGCCTGATTAACCTGCATAACTTTTCCGTATTACAATTTCCCCAATAACAACCACAGCACAAGAGCAAAACCTACCTGAAATAAAAGGTAGATTTAAAAGAAAACTCCAACACCCATGTAACCTAAAACGGAGGAAATGGATCCAAAGAAAAAGAATTTGGATCATTTTTCAATTTGTGCGTGTATCCTTGCTTGCGCAGGGGCCATGCTAATCTTCTTTGTGTCGTTCCCAACCCCAATTGTAGTCAGTAATTGGAAGGATAAAAAATAGTCTTCCACAATATTCAATTTCATGGTGGGAGGAAGAGATGTACACTAAGTCATATTTTAGATCTTCATTTTCTTTTTTGGTATTATCTTTGTTGCAATTATTTAGATTTAAGTTAAAAATTAAATGTAAAAAATTTTCTATACGTCTTACGAATCTGTCTTTTGGATCAGAAATTAAGTATAAAAAAAATCATCTACATGTTTATCTCAATCCAATGAATATAACTTAAGGTAATGTGATTGCATATTAGTAGGGCTTGAGAGAGAGGGCAGTAGGGCTAGTCTATATGCCACTAGACCAATTTGCTCGAGAATTTTGAAGGATCCAATGAATCGAGGGCTCATTTTGCCTTTATGCCCAAACCTCAAGACACATTTCATTGGTGCTACTGGAATACTAGGTCCCCTATTTCGAACTTTAAGCTCCTACGCCTTACATCAACGTAGATTTTTTGTCTACTCTGAGTAGTACACATCCTCACTCTGATTTTCTGAACGACCTCATTGGCGACTCGAATTAATTTGGGTTCTACCAATTCTCTATCGTCTACTTCATCCCAGGATAAGGAGGATCCACGTCGTTTTCTATGTAAGGCCTTGAATGTTGCAATCCGGATGGTTGCTTGGAAGCTGTTGTTGTATGAAAATTCCATCAGGTGTAAATTTGAATCCCAACTTCCCTTAAAATCTAATACGCAAACGTGTAGCATGTCCTCTAGGATCTGATTTAAACGCTCTGTCTGACCATTCGTTTGAGGGTAGAAGACAGTGTTGAAGTCGAGACGAGTACCCAATGCTTTCTGAAGTTCGTGCCAAAATGCCAACGTAAAGCGTCGGTCTCGATCCGAAACTTGGACTCCATGCAATCTTACTACTATCTCTTTCACATGCAGTTGAGCCCATGGGCATGTTGCTTTTTTGGCAGGAAGTGTGCCAACTTTATCAAACTGTCGACTATTTTAAGGTTTCAACACTCTCATTTTATGTTAGATTTTTAAGTATCCCAAGTTTTATTAAATTTAGGGGTATCTACTATGCTTATATAATACCAATTTTTAGAGGAGAATTTCTCGTTTGTTGTCGTTCATTACTAAGAATTAACAAAACACGTCGCCTAAGAGATTCGAACTCTTGCGGGGAAACCCCATGTACTTAGCAGGCACACGCCTTAACCACTCAGCCAAAGCGACTCATGCCATCCTTGGTCTCATTCTTCTTCAAATTTTGAAAAAATTAGGCAAGGTTGCATTTGGTAAATATACTTATATATTGAATAATCATCCATTACATGGGTAAAATATTAACAATATTTTATTGTTTTTGCATTCATTAGACCACTTGGGTAAGAATGCATAAGCCCAAATGCCCTTTGGTTTTATAGCCTTATAGGATAAAGCTAAAAAAAATTATCTCGCATGAAAAACAATATTTTTATATATGTAAAGTAATTAACTCTAATATTTAAGAATTATCTTTTACGAGTCTTTTCATTTTATTCAATTTGATGTTAATCAAATGAACCGTAAAAGACAAGTACGTCTTTTGCATTCGTGACTGTCAAAGACAATTAATTGAAATCTGCTTGTACTCGTGACTCCGACGAGTGTACCACTTTTCGACTTAGGACATTTGCAACCACAATTATCTTTCCAGGGTGGTGCTGGATATCTATTTTGTAATCATTCACCAATTCTAACCACCTTCGTTGCCTCATGTTCAGTTCTTTCTGGTTGAAATAGTTGCCTCATGCCCAATTCTTTCTGGGTGGTGCTGGATATCTATTTTGTAATCATTCACCAATTTTACTCTTGTGGTCGGTGTAGATTTAAGTTTCTCTCCATATAGGTAGTGTCACCAAATTTTTAATGTGAACGCTACCGCGACCAACTCTGGGTCATGTGTGGAGTAATTTTTCTCATACTCTATTAACTGACGGGACACATAAGCAACCACCTTACCGTGTTGTGTCAATACACATCCTAGTCCCTTCTTGGAGGTATCACCGTATACCACTTACCACTCTCAACTTTCCGGTAATGTGAGCACTAGGGCTAACACTAACTTCTGTTTTAGATCTTAAAAGTTTGCCTTACACGCATCATTCCATACAAATGATAGCCCTTCCTCGTCAACTATGTAAGTGATGAGACTATTTTAACAAAGTCTTGTACAAATCTTCGATAGTATTATGCTAACCCCAAAAAGCTTCGTACATCTATAATGGTAGGTAAGGGTTCCCAATTAACTAATTAATTATAATTAGATATTGTTAGCTAATTAATGAATAATTTTAATAAACAAGTAATTCAGTTGTTTAATAAAATTTTATTGTATTTGTAAAAATAAATTAAATTAATACTTAAATAAACTATTATTGATTTATTATGGTTTGGAGACTCCTTTTCTGGCTCTTAATTTTTCACCTGGGTAGACTAAAGGTCTAAACAAGTTCAAGGGAAAGACAGAATGGGACTCAAACTTTCAATATTCCAATTCACCAAACACACCATCTTTTTAATGATTTGAACATTGTTTAAAGTAGCAAAAGTAACAGAAAATCTAGAGGTCATCGATTTTCCCGAAGAACAATCGAAGAAAATATCTCCCTAGCAGACAATATCTACTAGCGGTGGATTTAGGCTATTACTGGTTAACAGTTCTAAGTCGTGTAATATACTTGGAGTAGAGTAGAGATATTCAAAGGGATGAGAAAATTGGGAAACCAGGTAATGTAACTCCAGCATCAACGATGTAAATATTGCCCGAGACGTACCTAGAAGAGTTGTCCACCAGATATCGGACGAGTGTTGTTAATGCAGGATCAGTAGTTCCAAATATCCTTAAAGGGCTAGTTTTGAAGGCTACAGTGTTTAAATATGAGTCTACCCTATGCACGTGCCACAGTCTCTACTCATGATTCTGCTGTTCTCTGTACAAGTGCGCCTTGCCTTTACTTGAAAAATGATGTGGGCCCACTATAAGGGGCCATGAAAATACAAACACGTGCCATCATGATATCGGGACCTATCTCTAACATCATAGTGGTGGCCTCTAGTCTCAGACAAATTGGATGTGTAGTACTTCCCTACACACGACTCACACGTGCGAGTGTGAATCCCCAGATTGCTCGTACACCCCCTGGATCCTCTGGCCAAGCTAATCTGTAGGACGTTCGGAGGTCAGCGGATCCCCATAGTGTCATGCGCCTCATGAACACCCTCATCATCATACTGTGCGCATTCGCACTCATCATAATAATGTGCACATTCGTACTCATCATCATACTATGCGCGTCCGCACTCATCATCTATAGGGGAAGTATCCCTATGCTTATGAACATACCATATGTATGAGGTCCCTCTAATGTCCATCTTATTATCCCTTCTAACACAACCCTCTAGTCTCATCTCTTTATTATATTCAGTAACACATGATCGTGG